TGGATCGACAAAATTAGACGCGGTGAAATCTTGCCAGGCACCAGTATCCAAACGAAGGTTTGCTCTCATGATTAGATTCAGTTGCAAGAAATACAATGATTCGAATCCGGGTATTCAGATGATGAGGTTGGAAACTGTTCTCAAGAATAGCGAGTTTTCCTTAGAAGAGATTTTCGAGCAAGCACGCACGATTGCTTTTGAGAAGTTTGTTTTATTTTCATGTATTAATACTTAGCATACAGCATACAGTGCTTACTCAAATATACAGTACTCACTACGTATTTCGTACTCTGCATAGCTTTCAATTTTCAGGTTTGACTGTCCCATGTGTAGATCGCAGTTCTTCTCAAGAGCGGAATGCTACGATCATTTAGAAATCGAACATCCCATGGCGCGAATAGAAAGGCCGTTGTTCTGCGAGGTAAGATTCTCCTTGGCAGCTTCAATTTGTTATTGCTCTACTGAAACTTGCTACACCCCCACTGAATTTTTTATTTTAAGATCTGCCTAAAAGTTTTTGCTGATCGAAAATCTCTGGAACAACACGAAAGCTATCACAAACGAGTTCATCTCATGATAGACAACAACGAAATTGAGGTAAAACTTTGTTATCATAAAAGTCTTATCTTTTTTATTTGCGACTTGATAAAGTTTTTGTAGGTTATTTATTGCTGCTGTTCTTTATATTACAAAAGTATTTTGTATTTCATGTATTGTTTCCATAGCTCTATAAATCAACGGAAAATTATTAATCAAGTGGATGAAATTCGAAGAAGTTAATTAACCTAAATGGAGAATAGAATTGGTAGCCGCGGCACAGCCTCTTTGGATTTATAGGATATCAAGAAGTTTAAGGAAAAAATACCAGTTGTTCTGGTAGTTTATCAAAGCTACTGCCATTCATTCGAATAATAGCCCTTAACATCTAGCCCTTACGTTTGCCATTAGTGTCTTGAGCATAGAGTTAGAAGAAAGGAACGAAATAGTCAGCAGTGTCTTTATTAAGGAGAGCCTCGAAATAAGTCTTTTTTGATCATATTTCGAAGGATATTGTTGAGACCCAGCCTGAGACCTATGTAAAGCCCGCTCCTTCACTTTGTTTGGGCACCTTATCGATTAAATTTGTTGCGTTCTAGTTCACTGATCCGGAAATTTTGCTGCCCGAATCATGTGAGTTCGATGAAGAAGACCTACAAGGCGTCCCAGTGATACATTAGTTACTCGTTCGCGTGCGCATGCATCGTCTCTTGCTCCGCTTGAATACTATGTATTGATTGAATCAGGTGTTCAGCAATTTATACGTTGCTAGTCAGTTCGTAACGAGTGATCTGTTACTATTTGCCATAGTGTACGAAGTGAAATAATATTTACGACAATTTCTTATTATTTTGGTTATTGTTCTATTCAGTTCTTATCATTGCTTTATTCTTGTTATTATTCACTCAGAAGTGCATCTACAGAAAACGAGAAAGAGGAATATAAATTCTCGTTTTTCGTTCGTTTTTTCCTTGTTTTCTTGTTTCGTGTTCATACCGTGATTGACGATCATCCTTCACGGAACGGCTTTTGTGTCGTTCTGTACAAAAATGTTCATGTTGCGATTTTACCGTGTAAATTGAATAAATGTATTCGTTGGGGAGGAATCGAATGTTACCATAAGTCAACACATTTACTATCGATTTACACATCTACTGTCGATAGTAATAGCCCTAATTTAGCTATCCTTGTGAGGTGCGATGGGTGGTTTCTTCGCAAGGTAGGTTTCTGTGGTCTGACGTCTCCATAAACCTAATTGATTCTTTTTTAAAGTTAGGTGCTGCAACTAAAGCAAAGTATACAGGTATTCAAAAACTAGGAAAATTCGAATGTTCATGTATTCCTGCTTTGATTACTGGGTTAGACGTGGATCAGTCCAGAAACAACCTATCCATGAACCTTGCTAGAAAATCAAATGGACCGATTTTTTGCGAACATGAATTACAGATCATTTGAAGAACCCTATCTAAAGACCTATGATCGAAGAGTAGCGTGAATGATGGATGCCATCACATGCTAGACCCTTTGTCCGAGGTAATTTTATGCAATGACTACCCAGCGGGGCAATCGAATTGTCACGTGAAATGCACAAAACATAAAAGCATCAGTCAATGTGGAGCATTGGGCTAGACACCAGATAGTAGCGGTTCAGTAAAAGTCGAAAGGAAGCAGCATGTTTTACCAGTAAAATCGGGAAAGTGTCGAACAAATGTTCTGAGAATAGGATGTCGAAACCACCGATGACTTCGGTTAACTAAAAATTTGGGTATTGCAACCTGAATCGTTCCATCTGAAATTTCATTTTTCTTGATGTATCTTTTTGGAGACCCGTCCTGGTGATTTATCAGAAAAATAAAATTAGTAAAACTATACAAACACCTATGCCCCATTCCATTTACCATTTATGTCGAGCTCATTCCCACTATACCATCACTAGCAAATTAATCATTAGTCTGATTAGTTTGTTCTAGTAACTTCCTGGAAGAACGTACTGGACTTCAGAGTAATAAATGTTTCCTCCCATATCGGGCTTCATCTGTTTGAAAGTGCCCAAGAAAAATCGATATGAACACATGTTGATTAATAGCTAGGTCAATTACATTAGGGGGAATAGCCTTTCCACTGAACCTATCAAATGTTAGGGCCACTTGTGAAGGTAGGAAGTGTAGTCTTTTGGTTCTTCAAGATTAACGAAGAGAGCTTCTGTTCATCGAAAGCTCATCAGTATTCGTTCCTAATGATTCCTATTAGTTCGATGGCCCTTCATGGCGCCGAATAACCCATTGCATTAAGAACCAGTTCACGGAATTATAAAGATTAGACCTTATCACGCTGTCAATTTCCTTACGGGGGTCAAAGCTATGGAGAGCTATAGAGCTGTTCCAGCTGTTCCAGTTTCCGCTTCCAGCGTAAAGACCAATCAAGGATATTTAGTTTAGATGACAATCTAACAATAGTACAAGTAGATCGCTTATCAGCTCTCAGAGAGCCCACAGTAATGCACTTCTTTTAGGAAGCCCCGCCCCTATTTGCACCGGAAATAAAGTATTTCCACTGGTTATATCAATAGTAACAACAGCTCTCCTACAGTAGCCTAATGGGTTGAGAAAACATGCAGGACTTCCTTCTCACAGACCATGGGATCCATATGAAGAAGGTGGAGTCAAGAGGCGAATCACGAAGCGTAAAGAGGGGGAAAAGGGGGTCCCTGCCGAATTGGCTTTCGAGATTTTCACTCAAAACTCCAAAACAAAACCAAACTAAACCAAATCTCAGTCACAACCTGGATTTTTTCGAACCTTGGGCCCAGAAGTCATAAGAGTCGACTGCAAGTTACTGTCGTTGAATTATCGCTACAGATAAATCATGAAAAGTTACGCAAAACCAGGTGGATGGCCATGTCTCATGGCCACGATTTTTCTAAGGCACTGGGAGAAAAGAAAACCATGCATTCAAAAAAAAAAGGCCTGTCACTGTCAATGTGAAGTGCCAGATTTTCAATGATCAAATCGATGATTACGTGGTTGCACCCGGTCGTAAGGAGACAATCATACCATCGTTCCAAACAATGTCGGTGCTCATGTAGCTCGAACTATTCAATAGTACACCGACGAAAAAAGTTAAACCCCTGATTGAGCCAGCGTATTTGCTCGTAACACGGCTTTAACTGTTATGATCAAATGGAGACGTAGCTTGGTGGCATGTACCACGACAACCAACATCTCAAAAGTCCGATCTGTACATTGCTGGACGACTCATTATTTCTCAAGAGGCTGACACTAAGACTGATTTATCGAGGATTTTCCTAAGGTCACCAGAAAAAATACTGAAAGTGTTATTGAAACAAAATGAGAAGTATTGAAGAACTATTTTTAAAAATCTTCCTAAAATAATATGCATATAAAGATTAGGCATTCTAGATGCTACTGAAAGTAAACCATTTGTCGCCTTTAACGGTGGTAGGGAGCTATAAACCTGCCGCTGTTTATTAAATGATTTACACTTATGGGACCAACAAGTCATGCAATAAGTATAATGCGATCAGAAATCGATTTGCTGTAAAGAAACTGACCTGAGTGTCGTCGTTCTGGCGTGGGTTGTTGACAATTTAGTTTCAGATTCCGTCGTGACACAGCAGATCAGCTACATTTTCAGTATATAACTTCGCCATTTTCATGATACGAGTAGGGTTGACATAAAAATGCGGAGCTCCATCGAAAATAGTAGTTTACT